TCTCTCACTCCCTTCCTGCCAGTGCTTCCCCGCAGATGGGTGTGCGAACAGAGTAGCCCAGCCTTGCGGGAAACCCGCCGCCTTCTCCGCCAGCCACCGGCGCGTGCCCTCCGGCTCGCCGAGCAACTTGCCAATTCTGCGTATCGCCAAACCGTCGAGGCAGAGCTTTGGGTCCAGCTGCCCCAGACCACCGTCCTTCCGCGGGAGACACGCCAGATACGCACTCCAGAGGATAAAGATTTTCTCCTCCACCGCTTCCCCCGCCGAGACAAACGCATGGCAGAGTTTCCTGATTTTCTCCCACAAATCCTCCGGTGGTGAGTACACCTGCGCCTGAAACATTAGAACCGGCAGGACGTAGCAACTGATGACCGCTACCCTTGCCGTCGTCGTGAGGTACTGCGCTTCCCATTTTCTTAACTCTTCTTTTATCCTTTCGTATGCCTTCCTCCAGGATGGATCAGCAACACCGCTGGGCGTGATCCACACCCCCAGGAGCCGTTCCGGCTCTTCCCGCTCAGACCATTTGTATGGGATGCCTGCCGGCACCGGCACACCTCTGTTGCGGCCAAGCGGCACTACCCCCGACTTGTCACAGTTCACCTTCAGCCCCGACTGCTTGCCAAAATTTTCCAAAACCTCCACCGCCTTCCGCAGCTGCTCTTCTCCGCTTAGAAGGAAGGACGTGTCGTCGGCATAGCCCGCATACGAGAGTGGCGCATGCCCGGGTGGCCCGATTCCCAATTCCTTACGCTGCAGAGCGGCTCCAGCGCGCAGAGAAAGAGGTAAGGTGCCAGAGGACACCCCTGCCTGACCCCTCTATTCATTTCCACCCTTTCGCTCAGCCACCCATTAATGATAATCTTGGTTCCTGCCTCTGCATGCAGGCCCATGAGCCGCTCTGCAGAGCGGCTCCAGCGCGCAGAGAAAGAGGTAAGGTGCCAGAGGACACCCCTGCCTGACCCCTCTATTCATTTCCACCCTTTCGCTCAGCCACCCATTAATGATAATCTTGGTTCCTGCCTCTGCATGCAGGCCCATGGTCCAACTGATGAACTTCTCCGGTACCCCCAGCTCTTTCATTACCCTGAAGAGGAAAGGCCGCGAGACCGTATCGTAGGCCTTCTGGAAGTCGACCAACAGCAGCAACCAATCTTCGTTACCGCTGTTCGCAGCTTCCACCGCATCTGCGACCACCGAAACTGCGTCCGCCAGACTTTTCCCCGGTAAGAAACCGTGCTGTTCCTTTGACAGCACCTTGCCCAGCACCTTTTTAAGTCGTGAGGCCATAACCTTCGTGATCAATTTGTACATGACTGACAGCAGCGTGATGGGACGGTAGTTCCCCAGTTGGTCCGTCGCCCCCTTCTTGTGCAGCAGCACCGTAACGGAGGTTGAGAGGCTCTCCGGCATCTCCCCCGTCCTTGCAAAGTTATTGACAAAACCCATCACATGCTCCTTCAGCATATCCCAGTGCAGGATGAAGTATTCCGCCGGCAGCCCGTCCTGCCCAGGGGACTTTCCCTTTGGGAGACTCTCCAGCGCTTCCTTGACCTCCGCCTCTAGCCAGTCCGCGCCAAGGAGGGCCGCTTCCGCATCTGAGAACGCCGCTCCCTCCGCGAAAACACCCCAGTCAACCTCCTCCTCCGGCAACACGTTCCTGAACGCGGATTTGAAGTGGTCCGCCGCCGCCTTCAAAACCTCTTTCGTCCCCTGATATGCCGTTCCCCGATGCGACACCTCCCGTATGACAGTCCTCTTTTTCCGCAGTTTTATCTTCGCCGACAGGTAAGGAGATGGGACCTCCCCATTGAGCTCCACCCTGATGCCAGCCAGAACCTGCATCCTGTCCTTGCAACTCCGCAAGTAAGCGTCCAGGTGAGCCTCCTTGCACAACAGCTTATTCTGCGCCCTTCTGTCGCCAGGGTGCCGCATCACCTTGTGCCGGAGAAACTCCACCACACGTTCAAGGTGAGAGACCGTCGCCCTCACCGTCCTCCTCTCTTCCCTCGAGTACTCCTTCAGTCCCACGCTGAGCAGTTTCAGCTTCTTGCCCAGGTCCACCCCCTCTTCCTTTTCAAGTTTCTTCAGTATGTTGGCTGTCACTATACTGACTCCTCTCCTTTGTGCCTGCTTCGCCTGCATCCTCCACAGTCTAGGGCCCTGGTCCACTGGTGCAGCCGCCGCCAGCGCAAACTTAACTGCAAACCAGTGATCCGACAATCCTTTCGGTATCTTGGTGTGCTTCGCCTCCGCCAACAGCCCTATCAACGAGAAGGACACCAGGCCTCGGTCAATGCGCGTGCTCGCCCCTGTTGCCCTATCCCGGAAAGTGTACTCCAGCTTGGATGGGTGCAGAACGCGGAACACATCTCTGAGGTCCGCCGTCCGCCAAAAACTCAGGAGCCTCTGATTATCTTTCCCCGACCCTGACTGCGACGTCCGATCCAAGTGAGGGTCTTCCACTAGGTTTAAATCTCCCATCACCACCAGGTGCGCAGATGCCGGCTGCGCCTGGACGAACTGCGGGAGGCAGCTCCGCAAGAAAGTTCCCCTGGTGCATGCCTGCGCGGGAAGGTACATCGCCACAAGCCTGAAGGTGACCTGGGCGCACTCCACCGTGACACCCACCAACCTTCCTGAGGGATGCGTAACAACATCTGTAAGCTTGACCTCATCATTGAAGGATAGCACTGCCACGCCCCCTGCCCTTTCGCTGTTTCCCACCACCGCTGTCGATGACGGCTTTAATTGAGTCCAAAAATTGTGATCTTTACTTATCCTTGTGTCTGTAAGTACCACCACGTCAGCAATCGTTTTAAACCAATGAGCATGCTCCGTTCTTTTGCCGTTGCTTCCGAGGCCGTTGACATTGACCTCGCACAGGGTGAGATTGCGGGTGTTGTTACAGAGCCCCTTCGCATCCACGGGCTTGATACAGAGACACCACTCCTACACATAGTTGCTCGTGCCAGCCAGGTAACACATCACCCTCCACCTGCACCCATGGAGTTTGCGCTTGCCACCCACAGTTTCTCTCACCGCCCCAAAACCGTCCGGCTGATCACCACCTCTCTACTTCTGCAGGCCGAACTCCTTGCGAAGCGGGATGAGGTTCATCTTCCCCTTGCTCTTCCTGCTGGCTGACCCCCCCTGCAGAAGCGCAGTGCAGTGCTGAACCGACTTACATGCTCCACAGCTTGGGTGAAACTGGAACCCTGAGCCCGACTTCCAATAGGATGATACTGCGTGGCAGGGAAGTTCGATGTCAACCAGCGAACTGCCCAAAGACAATTTAGAACCCACAAAAAAAAAACCCTCATAATGGTTAAATAAAACTAAATCTGGGGAGCGCGTACCGCTCGCGATAGAAGGTGGATGGTGTGTCTTTCGGGTTGTGTAAAAATTTGAGCGCGATGAAAAAAATTCGCGAGGGCAAAGCCCGCGCCGCGGCAATTCTCTCAGTATTTCCTGAGAACCTCGACGCGCTTCGTCAGAAGTTTGAGCTCTACCTGCGGTATGAGGCCGCTTATATATACGGACCCTTCTCGTTTAGTGCGTCGTGAACCCAACATGTCGTGAGCCGTCACGGGCTATCATTATTCATGTAGCGTGAATGTCCATTGTACCCTGGTTTATTGCTCCCTGTCCACTCCATAGCACTGACAGGGCGCGTGGTCCCCTCGTTTGGTCCCCTAATTCTGGTACATGCATCGCGTCGTCTTGGAAGAGACTCGCTGTTTTAGTCTGGCCGTGCCAAGAGCAGTTTCCCTGCTTTTATTTGATCCTCGCCAATATAGTCTGCATCACTTCACTCATTAATCAGGTGGACGCGATAGCAGCACGACATGATTCTTCATAAGGTGGCACCTCGTGGCTGGTCAGTCGAATTTGTTGTAAATAGAGTATGGACCGGTGGACGAGCCTGGAAGGAAGGATCCAGGAACCTTCTGTTCACAGCACCTGCAGGAGTGATGCGTGATGCCAGCTTGACGCGGCAACGGCACGTGCTGACGTGTCTACGACTGATGCCTGATCAGGGGCCGCGTTCCAGCCAAGGAGAATTGAGGAATGCACGCTCAGGCGCAGACGCTGAGCTTATGACACGTGGCACAACGCCAATATTTCCAGTCCTCCACATGTTCCCCTCATGTGACTTACCATTGAAGCGTGCGTATGGGAGCGGGAAAGCGATGCGGCAGGAGCAGAAGAGCAGCAGGAAATATGTACATGTTAAAGCGTTTCATCACGTGTCAACTGGTGACGTCACGAATTCGCTGTTCCACGTCAGCAGCAACAGCCCTGACGTGTGGTGGTCCCTCCCTGACGGCATCTCTGAGAGACTGCCGTTGCCTCCCGGCCGCTGGCAGAAAATAGAGGTGCGCCGGGAGGGTTGGGAGATTGGGGAGGTGCGGGTGGGGTGGGGGTACCTGTTGAGCGGAAAGAGAGAGTACATACTGGAAGAGGACATTTGAGGCGTTACAAAGAGATCGGTGTTGTTTGGAAAGAAAAAAGTGGTAGTTATGGCACTAACTTTTCCTTGATTGAGTTAGGAGGCTCCTCGCACCCTCCATCTCCTGACCTGTTGTGTTGCGTTCCCATGGTTTGTCAAGCCCCCTCCCTAACCACCATGCTCACTCGGATCCCCAGGTGTTCCCTGTTCTGCTCTCACTCTCCCTTTCACCCCCTGCCTCTTGCAACCCCTCCCTCCCTTGCTGTCGCTCGCTCTCGGTGTTGCTGCTATCCGTCCTGTCAGGAGCTATCAAATCGGATGGGGGTCCACTTGTCCCCTGACCTGCTGCTGCGATGCCTGGTCAGTGCTGCTGCCATGCCTTCACACACATACAACTGCCATGCCTCGTCAGTACTGCTGCCATAGAACTGCGTGTTTATGCCTGGCGTATGGAGCGCAGCTATCCTTGCCTTGTTCTCGCTATCCTGTTCTTGTTTTACCTCCCTCCATCCCGCCAGACCCAGGACATCTACCACTAGGTGCTCTCATGCCTGGAGTTAGGAGCTCAGAACTGAACCCCTTCTTGCTTCATCCCATTCGTCTCGACCCTCTCCCCTTCTCTCTCTTCTCATCGCTCTCCCCTTCTCTCTCTTCTCATCGCTCTCCCCTTCCCTCTCTTCTCATCGCTCTCCCCTTCTCTCTCTTCTCATCGCTCTCCCCTTCTCTCTCTTCTCATCGCTCTCCCCTTCCCTCTCTTCTCATCGCTCTCCCCTTCCCTCTCTTCTCATCGCTCTCCCCTTCCCTCTCTTCTCATCGCTCTCCCCTTCCCTCTCTTCTCATCGCTCTCCCCTTCTCTCTCTTCTCATCGCTCTCCCCTTCCCTCTCTTCTCATCGCTCTCCCCTTCTCTCTCTTCTCATCGCTCTCCCCTTCTCTCTCTTCTCATCGCTCTCCCCTTCTCTCTCTTCTCATCGCTCTCCCCTTCCCTCTCTTCTCATCGCTCTCCCCTTCCCTCTCTTCTCATCGCTCTCCCCTTCCCTCTCTTCTCATCGCTCTCCCCTTCTCTCTCTTCTCATCGCTCTCCCCTTCCCTCTCTTCTCATCGCTCTCCCCTTCCCTCTCTTCTCATCGCTCTCCCCTTCCCTCTCTTCTCATCGCTCTCCCCTTCCCTCTCTTCTCATCGCTCTCCCCTTCCCTCTCTTCTCATCGCTCTCCCCTTCCCTCTCTTCTCATCGCTCTCCCCTTCCCTCTCTTCTCATCGCTCTCCCCTTCCCTCTCTTCTCATCGCTCTCCCCTTCCCTCTCTTCTCATCGCTCTCCCCTTCCCTCTCTTCTCATCGCTCTCCCCTTCCCTCTCTTCTCATCGCTCTCCCCTTCCCTCTCTTCTCATCGCTCTCCCCTTCCCTCTCTTCTCATTGCTCTCCCCTTCCCTCTCTTCTCATCGCTCTCCCCTTCCCTCTCTTCTCATCGCTCTCCCCTTCCCTCTCTTCTCATCGCTCTCCCCTTCCCTCTCTTCTCATCGCTCTCCCCTTCCCTCTCTTCTCATCGCTCTCCCCTTCCCTCTCTTCTCATCGCTCTCCCCTTCCCTCTCTTCTCATCGCTCTCCCCTTCCCTCTCTTCTCATCGCTCTCCCCTTCCCTCTCTTCTCATCGCTCTTCCCATCCCACCAGACCCAGGACATGTACTACTACGTGCTCATGCCGGGAGCATAGGAGCTCAAATCGCAACCCCTTTCCCCAGTTCGCCATTCCTGAATCACCTCTGCACACTTCTCCCCGTCCCCCCAGACCCAGGACATGTACTACTATGTGCTCATGCCGGGTGCTCATTGCACTCTTCACACCAATGAGCCTCTGAATCAACAGCAGAACGATGGCTGGGAGGACGAAGGCAGCAGGACCACTCTGTCTGACCCTCTCCCTTGCCCCTCCCTTCCCTCTCACCATCCGCAGACCCAGGACATGTACTACTATGTGCTCATGCCGGGTGCTCAGTGCACTCTTCACTCCAATGAGCCTCACAATCCGCCTCTCAATCCGCAGCAAAAGGACGGCAGGGAGGACGCAGGCAGCAAGAGCAGTCCGTCTGGTCCTCGTGGGTTGACTGACGAGCCGATTACATATTTCACAGCTCACAGCCGGGTCAGGCAGGGTAAAGGCGGGGTGGGGGAAGGATGAAGGTTGGGGGGATGAGGGGAAGGCAAAGGGGGGTAAAGAGAAGGCAAAAGGGGGTTAAGGTAGGGGAAAGGGGGAGGTTGAGGAGGGGATGGTATGTTGCACCTTCTCCCCTTGTCTCCTTTGAAAAATACCCTCTCGTGTATCTTCCTCCCCTACCTGCCTTCTCGTGGGTGCGCATCCTCTACCTACGCTCTACCCTCACTCCCCTCCCCCTTACCCTCCCTCCTTATCCCAAGCTTATCGTGGCTATTTTTCTGAAAGTCCACCGTCTGCCAGTGTTTTCTCGAGACGTCTTTGAGACGTCTTTGAGACGTCTCGAAAGTCCACCGTCTGCCAGTGGTTTCTCGAGACGTCTTTTCAGACGTCTCGAAAGTCCACCGTCTGCCAGTGTTTCTCGCAGGCGTTGCACCCACTGTTTCTATCCTCCGCCCTCCTTGCTCTCATATCATCGCCCACCTGTTTCTGCTGCCCTCGTCTCCTCCCGTTCCCTTCCACGCATCCCTGCCACTAACACGGTCGAAGTCCGCTCGGCAACAACTCCTCTCATCTCCTCCCCCACGCCTCCCTCAATCTCACCTGTGCTGGCGCTCACACGCTATATGACCTGTGGCGCTCACTTAACTAGAGACTAGGACCACTAGATGCATGCAGCTCCTCTCGTCCATTCCCCGCTACTCCCCCTTGCTCCCACAACCCCCGCACAGCTGCGGGCACATCTGTTACTTCCTGATCCCTCAATTCCTTTCTTCACCCTCCCCCTCCCTTTCGCTCTCTCAATCCCTCACAGCTGCGGTCACATCTGGAGGCAGTGGGGGATTCAGTGCTGGCGCTCACGTGTGTGCTGCACCTCGTGCGCCAGCACCCGCCGCTGTCCATTGTGTGTGGAGGGGGGGAGGGGAAGGGAAAGGGGGGAAGGGGGGGGGGGGGGAGGGTGCGTGCGTGCGTGTGCTTGGTGTGTCTATGTGGTGCGTCCCATTCAGTGCACCATGTACTGCTCTCCTGCTCCGCTCGTCTCCTCTCTCGTCTTGTCTCGTCTCCTCTCTCGTCTTGTCTCGTCTCCTCTTGTCTTGTCTCGACTCCTCTCGTCTCTTCTCACGCCGTACTTTCATCTCGTGCTATTTGGAAGCGGACTGACTTCTTTCCTCACTCTCTTCCTTGTGCCTATCCCATCCCCGGCCCGCGCTATGCTTACCAGGGCAATCTCACATCACGGAAAGGCAAGCTTGTAAGTCCCTCTCTTCCATTCCCTCCCTTCAAGCCCCTCCCTCCCTCCTCCTCAATCCCCTCTCCCCCTCGCTTCAATCACCTTTCTTGGATTCACTCTCGACGATTCTGTCTCATCAATCCCCGCTCGTCATGTCCCCTTTCTGCGTCCATGCATACTTGCACATCTTCCCTCGCCTTCTTGCCTCCCTTGCTCATACCCTTCATCCTCCCTCCCTCCCTCCCTCCCTCCCTCCCTCCCTCCCTCCCTCCCTCCCTCCCTCCCTGTCTCCCCCCAGCCTCCACTCGCCCTTCATATCATGCTCACCATTCTCCCTCCCCGCATTCCTTTCTCAGACCATTCCACCTTGGCATCTCCATCTCTCTCAAACTCTCCACCCCTCTGCGCTCTCCTTTAATGCAGCAGGCGAGGTCCCAGAGGGCATGTGAGCGGGGCATGTGAATTCCCCCTTTTAGTCGACTCAAAAGTCACCTTGTGTGCGGGGCATGTGAATTCCCCCTCTATTCCTCTTTCCCCATCTATTCCTCTTTCCCCCTCTATTCCTCTTTCCCCATCTTGTCCCCCCTTCCCTTTCCTGCCCCCTTTCCCTCTCCTGTCCCCATCCCGTCCTCCTGCTCTCCTTCCCCTTTCCGACCCTCTTTCCACTCCTGCCCCTCATACCCTTCATTACCCCCATCTTTTTCACTCTCCCATCCCTATTCCCCCTTCTGTTTCCCTTCCCCCGCCAGGTCCCATTCACAGGCCGCCACTAGTGCGGAGATAATCTCTGATGTGACTCTCATATTGCCCTGTTTCCCTCCCCCACCCTCTCCCCCTCCGGCCTGTCCCCGTCCCCCTACCCCGTTTTCCCATTCCCCCACCCTGTCGCTCTTCCCCCCCCCCCACACTGCAACAGGTGAGCAACAGGAGTCTGGCGGGCATAGGAGGGGGGGCTTTTGAGGCGCCTCAAAACTCTTCCCCCCCCCCACACTGCAACAGGTGAGCAACAGGAGTCTGGCGGGCATAGGAGGGGGGGCTTTTGAGGCGCCTCAAAACTCTTCCCCCCCCCCCCACACGGCAACAGGTGAGCAACAGAAGTCTGGCGGGCATAGGAGGGGGGGCTCTGGGCCTGCCAGGAGTCATGCTGAGCTTCTCAGACGCGCTGCTCATGCAGGGCAAACGCGCCGTGCCCAAGGGGGGGGATACTGTGGAGGTATGCTAGGGGGTGATACGGTGGAGGTGATGCGGGAGCGGGAGCGGGAGCGGGCGCGGGTGCGGGTGCGGGTGCGGGTGTGGGAATGTGAATTGTTTTCAGATAATGCCACCATGTCGACCATGTGATGGTACATGAGATTGGACTGTTTGGTGTTGTATGGTGTTACTCTGGTGTGGTGGTAACCGTGCAATTAAGCAGAGGTGCCTTAGAGAAGAACACATATTCTTTTCCTTACTTCTTTTGAGGCGCCTCAAAAGTCCCTTGCTTCGGACTGCTTTTCTGCTGTGTGTCTGTGTGTGATCCCATCTTCTTCCCGTTACTGCAGTCCTCGTTAGTTGCCTGCACAATGGAGGCACTTGTTGGTGCTGTTTACGCAGAGAAGGTACGCACACCCCCACACTACCCTCGCACCCTCACACACTGCCCTCACACACTGCCCTCACACACCACCCGCACACACCACCCCCACACACCGCCCTCACAGCAAGAACTCTAAGCTGGCAGCACCTCGTTCTTATCACCACTGCTGGTACCGCATCATCAGGAGGTCGGCTGTTTCATTTGCCATCATCAAAACCCATGTCGCACCACCCCAACACCACCCTTACATCAAGAAATCCACCAAGGCAGCACCGCTTACCTCTAAAATAGCATTGTTTGCTTTTCACCTCTGCTGATAGTGCATCTTCAGGGGTTCAGCCGTATCATTTCACTTACTCATTCGCTCCCACAATTAATCTACCCACTCAACACACATGCCCTATCCATCCCCATCCCTAACCAACCCCCTCCCACTCCCTATCCCCCTCCCCCTCCCCCTCCCCCCTCCCCCTCCCCCTCCCCCTCCCCCTCCCCATCCCCTTCCCCCTCCTTTAACCTCCCAATCCCCCTGTCTCCACCCGCCTCCCCGCCCACTTCCCTTCATCCCCTCCCCCCTCCCTGTCCCATTTTCCCCGTCTTCTTCCCCCTCCCCATCCCCTCCCCCCTCCCTGTCCCATTTTCCCCGTCTCCTTCCCCCGATCCCCTTCCTCCTCCCTATCCCATTCCCCCTGTCCCCTTCCCCGCATCAGGGCCTGGAAGCAGCGTCAGCCTTTGTGACCCGCCTGCTGCCCTCCATTGTTGACTCCCGCACTGCTGCTCCTCACACACAGAGGCTGGAGTTTGGGCGTCAGTATGAACAAGAATCCGGGCATGTGCATGGGCATGAGCATGGGCATGAGCATGAGCATGGGCATGAGCAACAGCAGCAGCAGCAGCAGCAGCAGCAGCAGCAGCAGCAGCAGATTCAGCCAGACAGAGAGAGCAATGTGAAAGTGGGCGATGCAGCAGCAGTGAGGAGAGTGGACTCTCCAGCAGAACAGAGTGACCCGGTGGCTCGTCTGCATGACATGTCCCTCCAGCAACTGGGACTCACACCGCAGTACCGGTACGTGTGAGGATGGGAGGGCGATGCAGCAGCAGTGAGGAGAGTGGACTCTCCAGCAGAACAGAGTGACCCGGTGGCTCGATTGTACGACATGTGTCTCCGGCACCTGGGTTTCGTCCCTCAGTACCGGTACGTGTGAGTTTAAACATGTGGGTTTAAACGTGTGAGTTCAAACGTGTGAGTTTAAACGTGTGAGTTTAAACGTGTGAGTTTGAACGTGTGAGTTTAAACGTGTGAGTTTGAACGTGTGGGTTTAAATGTGTGAGTTTAAACGTGTGAGTTTAAACGTGTGGGTTTAAACGTGTGAGTTTAAACGTGTGGGTTTAAACGTGTGAGTTTAAATGTGTGGGTTTAAACGTGTGAGTTTAAACGCGTGAGTTTAAACATGTGAGTATAAACGTGTGAGTTTAAACGTGTGGGTTTAAACGTGTGGGTTTAAATGTGTGGTTTTAAACGTGTGAGTTTAAACGTGTGACTTTAAACGTGTGAGTTTGAGCGTGTGGGTTTAAACGTGTGGGTTTAAACGTGTGAGTTTAAACGTGTACGTGTGAGTTTAAATTTGTGAGTTTAAACGTGTGAGTTTATTGAGTTTGTAAACGTGTGAGTTTAAACGTGTGACTTTAAACGTGTGAGTTTAAACATGTGAGTTAAACGTGTGAGTTTAAACATGTGAGTTAAAAGTGTGAGTTAAACGTGTGAGTTTAAACACCACCAAGGTGGAAAGGGTCCAGCGGGGCACTCCGGGTCACATCTTCACTGCAGTGACTTGTGAGTCAACTTAGAAGCCACGACGAGTGAATGACTCAAGAATCGAGGGCCTTCACATCACAGCCGTAAGTGCACCTCTCTCTGTCTGCTGCAATGCACCTTCCTGCAATGCACATCACATCCACTGCTCTGTGCATGTGATGATATGGCAAAGGGCTCAAGGGTTGCTTGTGGGATGCGTCAAAGGTCAAGGCTCACGATTGGCTGCTCATTTCCCCTCCACAGGCCCTCTCACTGTCTCTCAGGCAGAGGTGTTTGAGGAGCATTCTCCCTTCACGTCCTTTTACCCCGCGCCCCCTCAACCCTGCACCCCCTTGCCACGTCGCCCTTGCCACGTCGCCCTTGCCACATCGCCCTTGCACCCCCGCACCCCCTCGCTGTGCAAACACATCACTAATGACGAGCAGGCACACGAGCGCCCCATGTGACGGAGAGAGTGTGAGTGTATGTGGCGTGGAGGATCATGGGCACAGGCATGGGCTTGTCTCTGCTAAAAAATGCTCATTCCTCTGTCAAGCCCTCTCCCTGTCTCTCAGTCAGTAGTGTTTGAGCCACCCAAACCCCCCCCCCCATCCCTGGTCGCCCCCCTGTGAACACACCTCGTTCATGGCAAGCAGGCATACAGGGCGGACGATTCGGGACGGCCCAGGTGACAGAGAGAGCGAGTGTATGCAGCAGGGAGGAAGATGGGCACGAGCATGGGGGCCATCCTGCTCCAATACATTCATTCCTCCTTTCCCCGTCCACCTCTCACCATGTCAGCACAGGCACACAGGGACAGACAACCCACAGACGCCCCACGTGACAGAGAGGGTGCGAGTGTATGCAGCAGGGAGAAGGATGGGCACAGAGAATGCTGAGAGCGTTGAGAGCGAATCATCTGACCGTGCAGCAGTAGTCACTGAAATTGTCTCAATTTCAGCAGAAATCCCAGCGTCGCCACGACCGGAAAAAGGGGTCCCATGGTCATGTGGAGCCGGGAGCGCCAGGGGCGGCTGGAGGAAGTAAACGTGGCCGGGCTTTAAGACGTGCTGCGGACGCAGGAAGCCGTGCGTTGACGCGTTCAGCGACCCCACCTGGCAGCCCGGGTGTTCCTGAAGCACATCGCTCACGCGCGTGGCACTGCGATTCGGAGCATGATTTCCGCGGGGTATTGAATCGCCAGACATTGAAATGCCAAAGCATGAATCGTCGGGAGTTGATTGGACGTCCGTCAGAGTCGAAACGCGAAATGATGGGTTTCGGGCGCCATTGCTAGTGTTCTTCCTTCCCACAGTGAGGGTGCGAGTCTGACTCCCAGTCTGGCTGTGTGAGGAAGACGGCGTCTTGGCCTCCTGCGACGGACACATTGGGACGATTTGGACGGAGCCGTCCGGAAGCAGCAGAAGCGCCGGCTCGACGCACGGGCCGTCACGGCCCTTTGAGGGCTCCCGGCGCTGCGGCGTGCTTCGCGCGCCGCTGCTCGGCGCGCCGCGACTGGCGCTCAGCACGTCGCGCGTCAGCCGTGACCATCTGGCGGAGAATCTCGTCGCGAGATGCCGCGGCGGCTCCGCGTTCGCGCCCGAGGACGAGACCAAGGCTCGTAGTTCCCCCTCCGAAGCTGTAGCGAAGGTGGAATTGGCGAAATTTGGCGAAGACGACGGAGCCAATTTGGTGTCGTCGCGTGCGCACATGGCGGCCACTTCGAAGCAACAGGACTGTCTAGAAACTCCGAGTTTTCCTGAAACGGAAAAATCGACTCGATTTCGGAAGAATTGTAAGGGTTTGCTACGGGAGGAAGAAGCTCGGAGCTTGAGTCAGGCTCGGAGCTTTATGACGCCGAGCAGGCGTTACAAACTTGACTCAAGTTTCCTCGGAGCAAGCACAGAAGCCTCCACCCTGAGGGTGGCGTACCTAGAAAACCTTCGTGGCTGCATAGGCCGGTCTACTTCCTCCTAGCTGCATTCCATTCCACTCCCGAATGGGCCATACCTACTGACAGCTGGCTGTCAGAGCGAATGGTGCTACTACGGCCTCGGTTAACGGCTCGGTTTGGAGTCCGAGGCATAGTAATGGTGGTTTGGGGTCGCGGCTTTTGGGACAGGAGGTTAGGTTACGTGCTGCAAGCTGGTTTGGCGTGCCGATTCGTGCGCGAGCCCAGACTACAGCCGGCGGGCAGCATATAAGCGCTCCAGCAGAGTGAGTACACTACGTCACGTTTTGCGGTTGTTGCACATTAGCGTGGGGTATATGGTTAATATTCACACTCCAGGGTATACTAGGAGGGTGTTCAGACTATCGCTAGTTTGCGTGCATTTTCAGGGGCTTGGTCGATGCCAGGGCTGTCGCTTGCAGGGCGTTTGCCCTGCTAGACCTTGAATTCCAGGGCTGGGTTGCCCTTGAAAACTGAAATTGATGGGCTGGAAAGTTTCTGGCCCTGATTCTTTACAGGGCTGATTTAGGGCTCAAGCCTGGTGTATTACGGGTAGATTTCGGGCGAGCCCTGAAACAAAATATTTCGAGCCCCCCTTTTCCTCCCCTCCCCCCTTCCCCAACACTCCTCCCTTCCTCTCCCCTTCGTTTCTAACCTGATTGCATCCAACTGGCAATTTTCGAGTAGCGTGGTTGGGCCACGAATTCAACTCAAACTAGAACTTGTGCTTGAACAAATCACAGCTAGCTCTCTGTGGAGTGGGTAGACCAAGGGGTAGAAGTGCACAAGAACTATCCTGTGGAGTGGGTAGAAGTGCACACGATCATCGGTTCTGCAAAGGCTAGGAAGCCTGCAAAGCGTGCGTAGTGATATGACGCTAACTAATTCTCTTATGTCGTGTTGCTTTTGTTTCATCTCAAACGTAGATGTAAGCTTGGTAGTTGAAATGAGGCTACCAGAATTTTCCGCGCCAAACTGATTCAGGGACGAGATTCGCCCCAACCCTGCTAAATAGAGGATCATACATGCAGGGCCCCCTGATTTGTCCGGGGGGGCCAAAACGAAACGACAGGCCTGGTCGATGCCATTACAGGTATCTGCAAAATCAAGCAATCACATCCATTCCAGACGACTTGCATACTATTAACAATGATTGAGGTGTACTCGTGTTTCCCCCCCTCTACTCCTGCTACACCATCACCTTCCCCATCACCTTCCCCGTCACCACCATCACCATCCATTCCCCCAAGAGGTTTTGCTAACCACCTCATCTGTCCGCCATTTATGGGATGGAGTGGAGTGCGGGTGGAACAGAAATCGTTGAGGGGAAACTGTCATTGTACACTTGTCTGCCACAACGAAGCAGAACGTTCAAAACGAGTCCAGCCAAAGTGCGTCGGAAAGCACGCTACAGTAGAGCTGAACTTGCTTTGCTGGAAATTCCTCGCTGGTTTATTGGTCAACTAAAATCCAATGACCTCATCTGCACGTGTGAATACACTACAGTACTCCTTGTTGGTGCTGTCCCGCCACATTCGCACACATGCTGCCACGCGGTCGACGCGCAGTCATTTCCTGGAAAGAGTCCCACGGGTCGTGGAGAACGACAAAACGAGTTTTGTACTAATGAGTACCGACTGTACCTTCTTGTACGAGGGTGGCAGTTCGTTTGCTTGTTTGTTTGTTTCCTTATTTGAAGGAAATCTTCAGTTCAGGCAGTACGTTGCATACTAATCTGCGTAAAATTATGGAACTTGCTGATCTTATATAGCTGATGAGCAAAGCTGCTGCTTCCAAAAAAACAGCCTAACTACAACTGCGATTCAGACTAAAGAAGAACATGGCTATGGTTCAAATCATCAAACCATCAAATCATGAAGATATTCTTAGCCCCGCTTCAATCACAGCTCTGGCTGGAAACAAAGCCCTCTCTCATCATCAATCCAGGATCGCTTGTTCATAAATCCGTTGACTGGCACACCCTGGTGAAAATCAATGCAAGGCGAAGTGATAATACATCTCATGAGTGTGTTCAGGCGACAGTGGGGCCGACACGGCCAAACACCATGTCCTCAGCAGTGACCACCACCCTCCCTCGCACACGGAATGGTACATGTCTCATCTGCTGGCTGCTGCTGCTACTGCTGCTGTTACTGCTGCTGATGCTGCTGCTGCTGTTACCGCAGCCGTCGCAGATGCAGAACCTCCTGGCCGGAGTGCTGCTGGCTGATTCCAGAGCTTCAAAAATGGCCTGGTGATTCTCCATAGCACTCGCAGCATCTGCGCTGCTGTTGCAATTGAACCTGCTCTTGCCAGTTGTGCCAGCCCTG